TGTTTGTGTGTACGTGTGTGTGTGTGTACGTGTGTGTGTACATGTGTGTGTGTGTACGTGTGTGTGTACATGTGTGTGTGTGTGTACGTGTGTGTGTATGTATGTGTGTGTGTTTGTGTGTACGTGTGTGTGTGTGTACGTGTGTGTGTACATGTGTGTGTGTGTACGTGTGTGTGTACGTGTGTGTGTACATGTGTGTGTACATGTGTGTGTGTTGTGTATGTGTGTGTGTGTGTACATGTGTGTGTGTGTTGTGTGTGTATGCGTGTGTGTGTGTACATGTGTGTGTGTGTGTGTGTGTGTGTATGTGTGTGTGTGTGTGTGTACATGTGTGTGTTGTGTGTGTGTGTATGTGTATGTGTGTGTGTGTACATGTGTGTGTGTGTTGTGTGACGTGTGTGTGTGTACATGTGTGTGTGTGTGTGTGTGTGTGTGTGTGTGTGTGTGTGTGATGAGGATTATGGGACATTTATCAGCTTCACCTTTGCTCCAGTGAAACGAGATTCATCAAGTTTGTATTTGTTCAGATTTGTTCAGTATTGTGTAGTAGTACCAGTAGTTATAGTAGTAGTAGTAGTAGAACTACTAGTAGTAGTTCTACTTGTAATACTTAGCACTTACTTAGTACTTGTAGTACTTGTAATACCTGTAAGTAGTATTTGTAGTACTTGCAGTAGTATTTGTAGTAGTACTTGTAGTACTTGTAGTAGTACTTGTAGTACTTGTAGTAGTACTAGTAGTAGTAGTAGTAGTAGTAGTAGTAGATGTAGTACTTGTAATGGTAGTAGTACTTGTAGTACTTGTAGTACTTGTAGTGGTTGTAGTACTTGTAGTACTTGTACTACTTGTAGTATTTGTAGTATTACAGGAGTTGGGGGTTTGCAGATGTTTTCAAGTCTGAGGTTGGAGCCAATCAGGACGCATCTTCGGGGGAGGACGTCCGTATTTGGGCGTTGGTGGAAAAATGTGGAAATGCTTTTGAGCTGTCGCCATGGAGACGCTCACAAACAGAGAGAGGAAGAGAGAGAGAGGAAAAAGAGGAAAGAGAAGAAGAAGAGGAGGAAAGAGTGAGGGCATGTTTATGACTGTACAGTTCTCCTCAGCCAGAAAGAGGAGAGGAGAAAGGGAAAGTACAGAAAGAGAGATTTGACTCAATATTTGTTTTGTTTTTTTTCTCAAACAGAATACAGACGTACAGAGTTACAGACGTACAGAGTTACAGACATACAGACGTACAGTTACAGATTTACAGCCTACAGACGTACAGAGTTACAGACGTACAGAGTTACAGACGTACAGAGTTACAGACATACAGACGTACAGTTACAGATTTACAGCCTACAGACGTACAGAGTTGCAGACATACAGACGTACAGAGTTACAGACGTACAGAGTTACAGACGTACAGACTACAGACGTACAGAGTTTACAGACAGACAGATACAGACAGTACAGAGTTACAGACATACAGACTACAGACGTACAGAGTTACAGACATACAGACGTACAGAGTTACAGAGTTACAGACATACAGACGTACAGAGTTACAGACGTACAGAGTTACAGACGTACAGAGTTACAGATTTACAGACTACAGACGTACAGAGTTACAGACATACAGACGTACAGAGTTACAGACGTACAGAGTTACAGGCGTACAGAGTTACAGGCGTACAGAGTTACAGACATACAGACGTACAGAGTTACAGACGTACAGAGTTAGAGACGTACAGAGTTACAGACATACAGAGTTACAGACGTACAGATTTACAGACATACAGGCGTACAGAGTTACAGACGTACAGAGTTACAGATTTACAGACTACAGACGTACAGAGTTACAGACGTACAGAGTTACAGACGTACAGAGTTACAGACGTACAGAGTTACAGACGTACAGAGTTACAGACATTACAGACATACAGAGTTACAGACGTACAGATTTACAGATTACAGACATACAGGTTACAGTTTACAGAGTTACAGTGTTACAGACGTACAGAGTTACAGAGCAGTGCCTACAGTTAGCGTCACACCCCAGGGAATGTGGGTGACTTCTGCTGCGGTACCTTTATGATCCTGAACCTGAAACCTGCTCCTCTGACCAGGAACAGACCGAGATCCCGGCCTCAGTTTTTGTCAAAGACCAGCCGCCGTTTCCTCGTGATGACATCACAGAGGAGGGGGAGGAACCTGAGCCTGAGGGGGCGGGGCTACACACCATTGACCTATCATCTGACGAGGAGGCGGGTCTAGAGGCGGAGCTAGAGGACGACTGGCCCCAAGACCTGGAACTGGAAAACCTGGAACCAACGAGAGCTGAGAAACTGAAGAGATCCAGCCTCAAGAAGGTCTAAACCCGGTCTAAACCTGGTCTAAACCTGGTCTAAACCTGCTCTAAACCTGGTCTAAACCTTGTCTTGTCTGGTGCAGGTGGACTCTCTGAAGAAGGCGTTTTCGAAGCAAAATATCGAGAAGAAAATGACGAAGATCGGAACCAAACTGGAGCAACGCCACAAACTGAAACTCAAGTCTCCAGTTTCATTCGGGCTCAAGAAGGTACTGCTCTAGACCTGGTTTAATCCTAGTATAGTCCTGGTTTAGACTGGGTTTAGCTCTGGTTTAGACCTGGTTTAGACCTGGCTTAGTCCTGGTTTAGACCTGGTTTAGACCTGCTTCTTGTTTGTGTTCCAGTCTCGTGGATCGGCTGAGATCGCGGTGGAGACTCTGGAGGCCGTGGCTGAAACCAGGGACTCGCCTGATGCTCTGCCCCAGGACGAGGCTCCATCTGTGGAGCATGAGGAGCAGGAGGCCCCCCTGGAGTTGGACCAGAGCCAAGACCAGAGCCAAGACCAGAGCCAAGACCAGAGCCAAGACCAGAGCCAGGACCAGAGCCAGGACCAGGGGAGCATTGAGGGTGTGAGTCAGGACTATGCCCTATCCTCCACCCTGCCCCAAGACCAAGAACCAGACCAAGAACCAGACCAAGAACCAGACCAAGAACCAGACCAAGATCCAGACCAAGATCCAGACCAGAGTCCCAAAGTGGATCTAGAGAAGGATCTGGAGGAGGAGCCAGAGAAGAAGCAGGAGGCCGAGGGCTGGGCCAGAGCCGAGGGGGAGGAGTGACGTACTGGACGAGTCAGGAGGCGGCGCCAAAGTCTCTGAGAAATACAGAATAAACATAAGATCAGAAATATAAAACAGAAATATAAAACAGAAATATAAAGTAAAAATAACATAAATATAACGTTATCATTAATATAAGAGCACTTTTCACAGTGGCTGAAACAGATTGTGACATCACATCCCAAAGCATCATGGGAGACGCCCTTCGCCAAACAGTAAAGCAAAGCACTCCTGCTAACGCTAACGCTGCTAACCCTAACGCTAACACTGCTAACGCTAACACTGCTAACGCTAACGCTGCTAACGCTAACGCTGCTAACGCTAACGCTGCTAACGCTAACACCGCTAACACTAACGTCTGAACAGATCAAACATTCACACTTTTGTGGTTTTAGAGTTTGTGTTTTTACACTGTGGTCATGTGATCATGTGACCTACACAATACACACGACACACACGACACAACACACACATCTGTAAAGGGTAACGTCATCTGTAAAGCATGACATCGTCTGTAAAGCGTGACGTCGTCTGTAAAGTGTGACATCGTCTGTAAAGTGTGACATCATGAGGTGGTTTCTTGTGTTCTCTGCTTCTGTTTTCCTGTTCAGTTTTTTTACAGAAAAGTGCAGTTTCACTAAAATGTGACTCGGGCCTTTTCATGACATCATCATGTGACATCATCATGTGACATCATGTGACATCATCATGTGACATCATCATATTTCAGATTTCTTCTCTTTTTTTAACCCAAAGCTTCACTTTTCATGACAAAGTGTTTTTATTTATGATGAAAAGTTTTGTCTCTGCTCCAAAGTCTGAGCTCAGTTTGGACTTTAAACATGTGACGTCAGAGAGGAGGAAGAGGAGGAGAGGAAGAGGAGGAAGAGGAGGAAGAGGAGAGGAAGAGGAGGATGTGATCAGCTCCTGCAGAGTCTCAGTCGTCCAGTGCGTTTGGAGCAAAGACAAAACTGTGACAGACCAAAGATTCACTCAATAAAATTTCACTCAAATATCCTCTGTGTGTTTATTACAACTGTGTCAGATGCCCTCCCATCCTCTGTCTGTGTGTGAGAATAATCCTCGTCTCTGATCAGGTTTGTGGGTTTTCCTGGTGGATCTTCGGGGTTCGGGTCCTCGGGTCTGGAGCGCAGACTGTTTAAAGAACATAAAACTATAATATTTCCATAAATCCAGTGGTCGGTGTGGAGGTGTGACAGAGGGGCGGGGCTTTCCGGGAGGAGGAGCCTGTCCTCGGCCTTAAACCGTCTCTTCTTCGGCCTTTTTCCTTCTTCTCCGCCGCCGCACCAGGACCATGGGCTTCGGTGATCTCCGCGCTGCCTCCGGGCTCAAAGTGCTCAACGACTTCCTCTCGGAGCGCAGCTACATCGAGGGGTCAGTACCGAACCTCCAGGCCGCGCCCCGGGTCCGGTAGAACCGCAGCAGAACCGCGTTAGAGCCGGAAAATAAACGTAAAAGAGAGAAACTGTCCCGGCGCCGCCATGTTGGCTCTGCTCTGCCCGCCGCCATGTTGGCTCATGTGGCACCGACCGCGGCTAAAGTTTGTGACTAAAGTGAAAATACGGGTCCATGGGCCGCGGTACCGGTACCGTTTACAGCGGAAGGTGGTTTAACCCGGGCCAGGACGGTCCGGACCCGTTTGGAACAAAGTAAAAGCCGCGGTTCTGGCCCGGGTCTGTGCAGAGCCACATGGCGCTGGCTCCGCGGGGGCTGTGCCTCTTCACCGGACCGAACCGAGCCGCGGTCCCGTCTGTGGGTCCGGGGTCCGGGCTCTGGGGCAGAGGACGTGATGATTCTTTTCACCATCTTTCGGCTGAATTTGGTGATGCCACTTTCAGATCTGATCCTCTCCTCGGGGCCACGTGAAAAACACTAAATATTGTGGACAAAATGATGAAGTTAATTGTGCAGAATATTCACTGTATTTGTTTATATAAATAATTAAATGTCGTTGTTGTGACGAGCTGCTCAGACCGGAAACAGTTTGTTTTTTGACTCATGAAAAAGTGAAGCTGCCGAACAAAAAGTGTCATTAGAAAAACACTAAAATAAAATGATGGAGATTTAGGCCAGGCAGGAGGTAAAATGATAAAATGTTTGTTTTGTGATTCAAATGAGCTACACTAGTTTAACTGTAGAGTATTTGCCCTGTAACGGCTGTGTCTGTGGTTCTGTTCAGGTTCGTTCCGTCTCAGGCTGATGTCGCGGTGTTTGAGGCTCTGTCCGCAGCGCCCCCTGCCGACCTGTGCCACGCTCTGCGCTGGTACAACCACATCAAGTCCTACAGCAGCCAGAAGGCCAGGTGAGCTCCTGTCTGCACCTGTCTGCTCCTGTCTAGACCATAATGATTCTAAACACACTTCCACTGTGGTCGTCTCTGTGCTCTTGTTCTGATCAGCTCCACAGTTCTAAAACATACAGGAAACGTTCTGCTCTGTCCTGTCAGAGGTTCTGCTCTGTCCTGTCAGAGGTTCTGCTCTGTCCTGTCAGAGGTTCTGCTCTGTCCTGTCAGAGGTTCTGCTCTGTCCTGTCAGAGGTTCTGCTCTGTCCTGTCAGAGGTTCTGCTCTGTCCTGTCAGTGGGACTTTAGGATCCAGACCTGAGTAACACTGACACTAAACAGTTTGGATTCTAGTTTTAGTATTTCCTTCCTCCACAAACGACCAAACTTGACTGAAGTGTGATGTCGTCATTTAAAACTAGTTTAGTCCTCAGCTGGTCTTGGTTCTAACTCTGATTCTGGTCCGGTTCTGGTGCAGTTTGCCTGGAGTGAAGAAGCCTTTGGGTCAGTACGGTCCGGCGGGCGTCGCTGACAGCACAGACTCCGCCCCCAAAGCCCCAGCAGCCAATAAGGATGAAGATGAGGACGACGACCTCGACCTGTTTGGCTCCGACGAAGAGGTGGGTTTTAGGTTCAGGTCAGGATTGTAACCGGTCTTGGTGGGGTCTTAGTTGGGGTCTGGGTGAATTCTAACAGTTTTTATTTCAGGAGGATGAAGAAGCTGCACGTATCAAAGAGGAGAGACTGGCTGCGTACGCCGCCAAGAAGTCCAAGAGTGAGTAGTACAACTACTGCAACAACTACTGCAACAACTACTGCAACAACTACTGCAACAACTACTGCAACAACTACTGCAACAACTACTACTGCAACTACTACTGCAACTACTACTGCAACTACTACTGCAACTACTACTGCTACTACTACTACTGCACTACTACTGCTACTGCAACATGTACTTTGACTTCAAGAGTACTGCATGTTCTACCTGGCTATTGTTAGACTGGTTTTAGATTAGACCCGGTTCTCTCCTCAGAGCCTGCAGTCATCGCGAAGTCTTCGATCCTTCTGGACGTGAAGCCGTGGGACGATGAGACGGACATGAAGAAGATGGAGGAGTGTGTGAGGAGCATCCAGATGGACGGGCTGGTGTGGGGACAGTGTAAGTCAGATGCCCTCCCTGCGTGTTTGTTTTTTTACGTGTGACTCGATCTGCGTTTGAAAACCTTTTAAAAATCGAGGATGTGATGATTCTTTTCACCATCTTTCGGCTGAGTTTTGGTGATGCCTCCTTCAGCTCTGACCCTCTGGACGAGCTCGTCTGGACTCTGACTCTGAAGTGACGTGATTCTAAATCCGGTGTTTGTCTTTTTCAGCCAAACTGGTGCCGGTCGGATACGGCATCAAGAAACTACAGATCAACTGTGTGGTGGAAGACGACAAGGTAAGACGAGATTTAACAAACGGAGCGAGTTGGAGGATGAGGACCAGGATCAGATGATGCGGAGTAAAATGTGTGTGTGTTTTTCAGGTGGGCACAGACATCCTGGAGGAGCAGATCACAGCCTTCGATGACCTGGTGCAGTCGGTCGATGTCGCGGCGTTTAATAAAATCTGAATAAAAGCACTTGACTCTGATCTGTGTGTCACTCTGGTCTGTGTGTGTGTGTGTGTGTGTGTGTGTGTTGTTTTTTATGAAGGTGTGTTGTTGTTGTGTGTCTGAGTTTGCATCAGGAGAATTAAAGTTTGAGCTGGGGAGTTTTTTGGGGTTTAAGTTCTTCACACTTGGACTGGGACATGGTCTCGTCCTGATCTTTCGTGTGACTTATTCACTGAGCTCATTGTACAAAATCTGACCTTTTTAAAAAGTCCGTGAATGTTTTTGTGCAGAGAAAACTTCATTTGTACAAAGTGTAAAGCTCAGAGCTTCAGAAGACCTAATGGGATTTTAGAATAAAACGAGGCGACATTAAAACAAAATATCAGTTCAGTGATTGGAAAAGTAGAAGACATTTCTTATTTACCTCTGGTACTGTGAAGAGGCTTGAGACAAAAGAGAAACTGACTTATATTTGTAATTCGGTCAAAACGAGACTAACCCTAACTGGACCAGGACCAGACCCGGGTTAGATTTGACCCGGTTAGATTTGACCCGGTGAGACCAGGTGCAGCGCCAATGTAAGTCTGAGGGCGGCGCCACTGAGTCCAAGGATCCATAAAGAGCAAGTCAAGACTGCGCATGTCAAACTGGACCGAAACTAACCGGATCGGAACCAACTAGGTGAGTACGTTTTATGTTTGTCAAAGAGTTGATAGAATTTTAAACCCGCGAGGAGCGTGTGTCCCCCGAGTCTGTCCCCCGAGTCTGTCCCTGTGTTTTTGTGTCTCTTTGTTTTTGTGTCTTTGTGTCCACGCAGAGACACTGCGGGTCTGTATATAGATTCTCTCTCTGTCTCCGTGTCTCCGGGTGGGCAGATAAATTTACGCTCCGATATTCTGAGTTTTTATTTTTATTTTAAACTCAGGTCTTCGTCAGGGCGCGTCAAATCCACCGAGGTGACGAGACAAAACACCGGAACAAAATATATCCACAAAACAAACATGATAATGAAAGACAAAGTGACATGTCACATAATACAAACATTAAAATATATATAATAATACATTATTATTATTATTATTATTATTATTATTGGCCCTCGCCACTAACAAAGTTAGGGGCGAGGGGTATTGTTCTTCGTCGGTTTCTTATTTTATTTTATTTTTTTCTTTTTCCCCACATTGAATCGCATTTTTGACCCCCTGAACATGGACGAAAAGTCCCCAAACCGGGGTCCAGATCGATCGGCCCGGCGAAAAATTCGATAAAATGGGCATCGTGAAAATGACCAAAGTGACCCGACTCAACAGCGCCACCAAGAATTGGACCCCTATAGGACTAGGGACAGGAAAAGTTTGTTGCAGGGAAACGAAATTCGTGACAGTGATAGAGAACAATGAAACACGACAAAACATGAATTGGAGCGTGACCCTATGACGAACAGGAAGTCGGCCATATTGGATCAAACATTCGCCGCCGTTTTGACTTGGGCGTCTACAAAAAGATTCAAGTCCCCGGGGTTTGGTCCAAATGAGCTCAAATTTGACATGTCACATCTACAGACATAAACTCACAGAAGTTCCCACATTTTTTTGGGATGCTCCTTACGGTTCGCCCGTAGCACGCCGGCGAACAACGCCTTCATTTCCTGTTTTTTCGGTGACCTGTCACGGCCACAGGCATTGTCCTACAGAACTCAGATTCAAATCACAATTGCGTGATGCTGGTGTGAATGTGATGAAATATGAAATTTAATAAAAGTGAACTCTATAGCGCCCCCTAGCATAGACGTGAAACGTCAACATTATCGGATTAGTACCAAATTCGGGGCATAAATTCTATGCTTGATTACAAGCAAAAAAGTTCATTACGGACATGATGCATTTTCCACCATTGGCCAGCAGGGGCGCAAAGACTCCCCCCAAAAAATAGTTAAAAAATAATTACACACACAGGCTTAGTCCGATCGTGCTGAAATTTGAATCACTAATGCCTGATCATGGCCTGAATATAATACACTATAAAACATATGAAAAATGAACTCTATAGCGCCCCCTAGCATTGACATGAAATTTCACCATTATCGGATTTGTACCAAATTCGGAAATTAAATTCTATGCATGATGACAAGCAAAAAAGTCTATTATGGACATGATGCATTTTTCACGGTTTGCCAGTAGGGGCGCAAAGAATCCCCCAAAAAATATTTTTAAAATTATTACAGGGACATGCTTAGTTCGATTGTGCTGAAATTTGAATCACTAATGCGGGATATTGGTCTGAATATAATAAACTATAAAACATATGAAAAGTTAACAGTATAGCGCCCCCTACCTTAGACATGAAATGTCAACATTATCGGACTTGGACCAAAGTCGGGGAATAAATTCTTTGCATGATTATAAGCAAAAATGTCTATTACAGTCATGGTGTATTTTTCACGGTTGGCCAGCAGGGGCACAGAGAATCCCCCCAAAAATATTGTAAAAATTATTATATGCACATGTTTTGTCCGATTGTGATGAAATTTCTATCAGTTATACACTGCATGACCCTTATTCCATTGATATGTCAAATACAGTTATCAGGGATACAGCGTCACCTATATGAATGCACACAATTTATTATTGTGTGACATAAAATTAGTTTTACATTCATTTGTAAAACTTTGCCAAAACATTCACTGACGTACTCCTCATCATAAAAGTCGGTAAGACCTATGCCCTAGTTTTACACTTTGGCCTCTCGAATAATTTCACTTCTGAGAAATTTAAAGGCACACTATGTAACTTTTCTGGTGGAGGATGTGTTTTCATGCACTTAGTCTTAGTGTGACAGTGCTCTTGACCATTAAAGTCACATGACCTGTGGCTTAGTGTCTACAGTTTGTCTCTAGAATCATTCACTTTATCCAATTTTAAAGGTACACTATGTCATTTTTCTGGTGGACGAGCTGTTGGCCTCGGGAGCTGTCGGGAAGAGAGAGCGGTGTGTCGGGGCGGTCGCGAGTCCCCGGCATTCGCCAGGGGGGGCGGTGCGTGCCCGGGGCGAGGGCCACCATCGCCGCGCGTGGCTTTAATTATTATTATTATTATTATACAAACATAATGAAAGACAAAGTGTAGTATGACATTATTAGAGCCTGTTCCTCTGTGGACACGCGATGTCCTGCGGACACTGTGGGACATGTTCACATATAAAATAAATGTTTGGTGTGATTCTATATAAACACTAAAAGACAAATGTCCGTGTGTTTTTCATGTGATGATCTTGACCTTTGAACTCTGTAAACTCTTGAAGGATTTTTAGCTCCAGTTTTAGTCCAGGTTTTTGAAGAATCTGACCAAAGGTCACGGACCAACAGAACCAAAACTAAACCTTATTAAATTAATCCCTAAACCCCAAAAGGACAAACTAAGGCTCCGTCCACATCACAACACTCCTGGATTTTTATTTTTGCGGGTTGAAAAAAAAAAATCGCGTCCGCACGTGTCGGATCAATAAATGTTCACGTCCAGACGAAACCGGACACTGAGTGAAAACGATGCTCTGGCCCTGAGGTCCGGTCCACACCTCAACATTAACGGTGAAGTTTGTGTTCGCTTTGGCCTTTCGTCCACATGAAGCATTTTGGGTGAAATTATTATTATTATAAATATTTTTTTTGAGACCAGGTTCCAGACTGGAGAAATCTGAGCTCGTCATGTTGTTGTTTTCATGTTGTTGTGTTTTCATGTTGTTGTTTTCATGTTGTTGTTTTCATGTTGTTGTTTTCATGTTGTTGTTTTGTTGTTTTTTCATGTTGTTGTTGTTTTCATGTTGTTGTTTTCATGTTGTTGTGGTTTTCATGTTGTTGTTGTCATGTTGTTGTTGTCATGTTGTTGTGTTTTCATGTTGTTGTTTTCATGTTGTTGTTTTCATGTTGTTGTTTTCATGTTGTTGTGTTTTCATGTTGTTGTTTTCATGTTGTTGTTTTCATGTTGTTGTTGTTTTCATGTTGTTGTTTGTCATGTTGTTGTGTTTTCATGTTGTTGTTTTCATGTTGTTGTTGTTTTCATGTTGTTGTTTTCATGTTCATGTTGTTGTTGTTTTCATGTTGTTGTTTTCATGTTGTTGTTGTCATGTTGTTGTGGAAAGGTTTTGGAAAACGATGACGTTACGACCGCGTCATTGCCAGAACTGATCTCCACAGATCAGACCCTGGATCAGGATCGGGATCAGGATTAGTATTAGTATTGTATTAGTATTAGACTGAAGTACTGCAGTACTACAATACTGCAGTACATATGTACACGTGTACACGTGTTTAGCTTCTTCCCAACACTGGGGGTTCTGGTTTAGTCCTGGTTCAGTCCTGGTTTAGTTCTGGGTCAGACGGGGTCGGGCTGAGGTCACTTGGGGTTAGACACAGAGGAGCCTTTGTCCCTGAGTCTGAGCTTTGTCCAAACACAACAAAAGAGACATCACAGACCGGGACTGGACTGGACCGGGACTGGACCGGGACTGGACCGGGACCTGAGTCTAAAACCAGGCCTAAACAAGGACTCAGTGATATAATCAGGTTTTGAGTTTGACCCTGAGGCTGTTGCCACGGAAACTTATAATTCAAAACAAAATGTCTTTTTTATGATGAAAAGTCCTCAAATTGTCGTCCTCGTCAAAAGACACATAAACAGATTTCATCCCTAAACCCTAAACCCGACACCCGACCAGGCCCAGGGGGCGTGGCTTCAGTGGCGTGGTGATGATGTCACTGAGTGCCAGCTGTCAATCAAATCTAACTCAAAGAGCGTCTGGTACAGGACAGAACCAGGACTAAACTAGGACTGAACCAGGTCTGAACCAGGACTAAACCAGGACTAAACCAGGTCTGAACCAGGACTGAACCAGGACTGAACCAGGACTGAAGGACTGAACCAGGACTAAACCAGGACTAAACCAGGTCTAACTGTGTGTTGCAGATGAAGTGAAGATGAAGTGCTCTGTGGGTCTGGTTCTGGTTCTGCTCAGTTCTCTGCTGAGTCTGGGTACGTCACCTGTCCTCACTTGACCCCCTGGTCTGGTCCGGGTCTGGTCCGGGTCTGGTCCGGGTCTGGTCTCGGTCTCGGTCTGGTCTGTATCTGGTCTTGTGTTTCAGGGGAGAGTGTTCAGTGCTTCAGTTGTCAGGATTACAGCGGAACCTGCTCCAAAACCAGAGAGTGTTCCCAAGACGACGCCTGCCTCACGCTGAAGGCTCGAGGTACTACTACTACTACTACTACTACTACTGCTACTACTACTACTACTACTACTACTGCTACTACTGCTACTACTACTACTACTACTACTGCTACTACTACTACTACTACTACTACTACTACTACTACTACTACTGCTACTACTACTACTACTACGCTACTACTACTACTACTACTACTACTGCTACTACTACTACTGCTACTACTACTACTACTACTACTACTACTACTAC